AATATATGCAAAAGATTAGCCTTTCACCATCAACACAAAAGCATTAATATTAGTTTTATATCCTTTTATGTACTAAGTCTAAAACCCAGTGTTAGAATTGATATAGAACATCTCATGTGGGACCAAGCCACACTGAAGTGCTTACTTAGTAGCTATATGTGACTTGTCACTATTATATTGCACAATGCAGGCCTCGACTTTTCCTACTGTCTTCAAGTCCTACCCCTAACCTCTTCAGTCTCAGAAAGACCCCATGACTCATTTTCCAGGGAGATGTTGAGTTAATTTACCTCAAGTCCCATTATGTCACTTCTAGACCACCTGAACACATATCTGTAGCCATTCTTATTCCTTCCCCAGAAGTTTCTCCCATTCCTTCTCTTTTCTCCTTTCTTTGAAAAGGAGGAGCTGTGATTAATCCTTTCCTGAATTCTCTGAGACTTTGCTTAATAAAATATCTTCTCTTTTCAGAATCCTTGCCCTTGCCTTTCTACCAACGTTCCCAGGTTTTGCTCAGCCTAAAGGTTTGCTTGTTGCTACTCCTCCACAAGCTATCATCTTCTTTATTCTTTGAATTTCCACCACCTCTCCAACTCTTACATTAGGACTTCTACCCACACTTGTCCCAACACCATCCTCTGCAAAGTTGTGAATGACCTTCCAGTCCTCACATCCAATGGCCTTCCTCAGTGCTCATTTCCTGGATATGTCTTCAGCATTCCAGATGGCAACTGACTCTTCTTCTGGGAAGTTTCCTTCTCCACAGATGCTGTACCCTTACACACTGGGGTTGCCCTTATAATACTCAGGACTCTTCTTTTAATAGCTACTCTTACTCCTTTCCAACTGTGGTCTCATCTAAATTGAATTGCATCCCTTAGACTCCCGTCGCTTCCATGATTATTTCTGCCCAGAATATACCCTAATGCAAAGGTTCCACACAGTATACCAAATTTCAGTCCTGCATTTCTGGTTGCCTACTGTGCTTATTCATCTGAATATCAATAGCATGTTTGATATGAAGGACCATTTTTAAACTCAGGGCTACTGTGACAAAGGCTAAAAAAAATCATTTAACTGTGGAGCTTTAAAAAAAATTAGTACACTTTGTGTCTAATCATTAGCCTTATGTCATCTGATTCCCATCTCATCTCTGCTCCAGGCAGTGTCACAATGCCCTGCTTTCTGTCTCATGTCAGAATCTGAAGGTTTAAAAACACGTGCCATCTTCCCCCAAACCAGTTCATCCTCAGAGTTCCTATTTTTGTCAGTGATGCTGATCTCTCAATCACCTGGCCTTTACCCATAATCAGATCTTCCTCCTTTCTCCCACAGCTCATAGTCACCCTTCTTATCAACTAATCCTTCATAATATTTTCTTTGATTCACCCTATCTCCTCACACATTTACAAATGTGCTCCCCACATTTACAAACCACTCTATATCTACTTCCTTCACCAACCCCAGGACTACTCTTTCCTCAAACTCAACTTTTGCCACCTCCCACATGACAAGATATATTGACATTGAGTCATCATTTATTTAAATGAATGTACAGTCATCCCAGGTAGACAGTAAGTTCCTTTAAAAAAAGGAACAAAATTTTGTGATTGCTTAATACCTGTAGATAACTGATCAATAACCCTTGATAATAGGTTGTTTTCACTTAAAGAAAAACATTCCCTTTGAATAGCTAGTTCTGAAAGCAGTTTTCAATTTAGTCATTTGGCCCAGAATTAACTTTGCAGAATTTGAGGTGAAGGGTACTTAACATGTAACATGAGAGAGGTAAAAGTATCAAATTTAGGGGTTGATTCTACTTCTTCTAACACCTGGTGAGTACATAAATCTCTTAACTTTTAGCTTCCTCACCTGTTACATTACTTGTATAATGTAGTTTGTTGTGAAGTTGAAATGAGAAATATACAAAAGTGCTTTGAGCATTTCAGAATTGACCTGAATAGATAATCTTGTCACAAAATACCTAGAATCCACAGCCTAGTTTTAAGATAACTCTTTTTGTTAACCTCCTAAGTAGAAAGTTTTCCTCCATCATACCATGTTGATTAAAAGTCCTGCTGGGAGATAACTCTACACAAAATGAATGTGACTTGGCTAACCTCTCTGCCCTCAGATTTTTCCAGATTTTTCTGGTTCCCTGGAACCAGACTGAGTGCCATTCTTGCCTTTTTTGCATGTGTGGCTGGGTAGCCACACATGTAAAAGGCTTTTCTAGAGGGACTGTCATTGTTGACAGGTACTAAGGAATTCATTTAGTTGGGATGCACTAGAAAATCGCAAATTTTGTCTCCTCTTGGTCTGAAAACAATTGCAGGGTTTCCTGTGACCCTTCTATGTCCTTCCCATGACACACCTTCCCCAGCCCTCAGAGTTCCTCCTTTTGCAAATCTCATGCTGCCTTATAACTGTTTCCAAATGTGCCTGCCATGTGAATCTGTGGCATCACAAAACAGATGACTTCTTATTTCTCACTTATTTATTTGTGTGTGTTTTGTTGTTTGCTTTTACAAATCATTGATTTTCTAGCCATGCCTCCTAGCACATGCAACAGAGGAAATACTGAAGGCACCAGGCCCCCAAGGCCTTTAGGCCTGCTGGCCCACACCTAGGCCTAGGACTGTTTCAATTTAATGCCTCTGGATCCTGCACTCAACCCCAGGCAGAGCCAGGCTTCTGCAGATATCCCTTCTCCTGCTTCTGTCATTTACTTCCAGGGCCCCAGGAATTATTATAGGTATATCTTCCAAAAAACCCCTGTTTTCCACCTGAAAATGACTCTATGGTACTCTTCTAAAAAGGAAAGAAATTTGATTCTTCTCAACAAACTCTTCCAAAAGGAAATTCATATGGTGAACTCATTTGAATTTCATGTTAAGGAAAAGCAAATCTTCTCTTGCATTATCCTATCCTAGCATTTTTGCGTTTAAAAAAAGATGACAAATATGTATAGAGGTAAAGATCACAATGAAATCCCCTGAGTCGCTACCATATACTAATAAAAACATTTTTTTAAAAAGATGAAAATTATGATGATGACAACTTCAAGGATAAGAAAGGGTTATCTAAAGGAATGAATTTCTAATGGTCAATTAGCGTAAATGGTGACTGGGGTGGAAAGAAGAGAGGCTTTAGATCAGAGGAACTTTTCCTTGGCTTCCGGAAACAACCAATAGCCTAGCCCTCCTCAAAGCATGAAAAAAAAAATCTTTGTCTTATCCCAAAACATGCCTGTGAGCCTCTCCTTTCCTCTACTTTCTGTATCACAGAAGTGTTGTAGGGAAAATGGGAACCATTTTTTTCCCAACAAATGGCTATCTACTGGAATCTTTGAGTTAATATCTTTGGTGGACCATGGTGGCAAGGGCTGGGAAGTAAACGGAAATAAATTCTCTCTCCAGGTTCAGACTGGGGCACCCTGAGCCTATTGTAAGGAGCCTTTCACTGCTCAGCCCCTGGTTTGTACACAGCCAATGTGAGGCAGGTCTGCTGTGAGGAGGGTTGGAAGTTTGCTCTAACACCATTCTTATGTCACCCCTTTAACCTGGGATTTCACTAGGGTATGTGACTTTTTCAATACAGATTGACCATCCCTAATTCAAAACTGCAAAATGCAAAATGCTCCAGAACCTTTGGGCACTGACACAACACCACAGTGGAAAATTCCATACCATGAAACTTAGTTTCATGCACAAAATTATTAAAAGTATTCTCTAAAATTACCTTTGGACTATGTATATAAAATGTATACGAAACATAAATAAATTTCATATTTAGACACAGGTCCAGTTCCCAAGATAGATCATCAAATAGATACAAATATTCCAAAACATATCTTGCCCCAGGCATTTTGAACAAGAAATACTCAACCTGCATAGCTCTTTCAGCTAATTGTGCACTCACAAATGATGGGAGCAGTGTTCTGTTCTCTTCAACCTGGTTGCCTCTATTTTCCTTTGAGAAAATGACTGGAATCAAAAGCAGATGTCTTCAGGTACAGTGTACAGGAAACTGACAGTCTAAGCCACCACAACTTGCATCTGATTATGACATGGGAAATTTGTCTCTTCTTGAGAATTGACTGACAGTAAGATTCTGTAAGAACCACTTGTTATTTGTCTAGTTGGAGGAGTTTCCATGACATCTTCAGCAAGGCTCATATGCCTTTTTCATACCCTGATGATTGAAATATTCAAAATATTTCCATTTTGCATCACATTTGAAACACTATGGCTTTGTTCTTTTGAACATCTTTTTCGTTTGTTTCTAGGTGGAAAGAGGATGGTAATTGAATAATAGATGTGCTGTAGATGTTAAAGCTCAAATACCAGGTTTTTAAATCATAAAATGTAAGCAGACAGATCATTTTGAGCAACAGTTAAATCCAAATGTCAGCTCCAGGGTTTATTGACCCAGCCACTTGCCTCAGTTTTGCTAGTGTTTTGAAGGCAGGCTGTATCTTTGGCCAGGTGCATATGGTATTGGCAGGGGTCTATAGACTTTCTTTGTGTTTCTAAAGGCACCACACCCCCAAAACATTATTTTCATTGTTGCTACCCCTTCTCAGAAGCTGGGGTGAATTTGTAGACTGATGTGCACATATGTGTACACACACGTCTATAGGCTGCCATTGTCACCAGGGCATCAAGATGCCCACCTAGTCAGTGCTATCCAAAAGAGAACAGGCGCTTCATGGAGTCCTCTACTCTCAAGTCTGTTTCAGTCACATAATTCCAGCCACTGTAGAAATGGAGTAGCCCACAGAGATGCACTCATAAAGATGTGGTCACTGAGACCTGCGTATGAATTTGTGAACTCTCCTCGGAGACAGAGAAGATATCTGCAGAAGGAAATAGAGCATCAGAAGTGCCCGTGGTGTAGCCATCTGTCCACTGGCTTGCGTGGTGGGAGCCCCAGCCCCCACAGCTGGGCAGATGAGCCAGAGTTCAGTGATGTGTGCGTGCTTGTGTCCCCTCCCACAGCTATCGACCTGCTGTACTGGCGGGACATCAAGCAGACAGGGATTGTGTTCGGGAGCTTCCTGCTGCTGCTCTTCTCCCTGACCCAGTTCAGCGTGGTGAGCGTCGTCGCCTACCTGGCCCTGGCTGCACTCTCGGCCACCATCAGCTTCCGCATCTACAAGTCCGTTTTACAAGCTGTGCAGAAAACCGACGAGGGCCACCCTTTCAAGTGAGTGCCCGGGGCCTCACTGGCCCTCACCTGCCTGTCCTGGGCTCTTTCCCCGCCACCTCTGTGCCAGGCACAGGTGCACTACAAATGTTTCTCTGAGACCTGGCAGACCTCCTGGCATCTCAGCTAGCCGGTCTTTGGTGCCTAATGTTGCTGGTGGATTTCTGTGACAAGGTCAATCATCCTTATTCTAACACTTGAGTTTTTACATTTTGTTACTAAGAATACTCATAATCCATTATATGTGTGTAATGTTTTATAATTTAAAGAATATTTCAATAATTGCTTAATCCACCCAACTCTATAAGGAAGGCATTGCACTCTTTTTTCATAGGTGGAAAAACTGAAGTTGGAAGAAGTAGTGGCATGTCCAAGTTTATGGCCAGTATACAATAGGAGCCAGGACCATGTGTTCAGATTTTTATTTCCATAGTCTTTCTGGAAATTTAACACCAAAGGGTCAACACTGAGGGATGTAAGGTTCATTAATGGTCTTCATCACTGACCCTCCTCTGCATTTTTATGGGGGGGGGAAATCTGATTAAAATAAGACTGTTGAAAGAAAGGACTTTTAAAAGGGGGGAGGGGCAATCTACTAAGTAAGAGGACATATGCAATGTGGCAGAAGGCAATGTTAGCTCTACCAGCTGCAGCCACCCAATTCCACCTCACTTTCCCCCCAGACTGCAGAGGGTGAGCCTGGGTACTCATAGCACTGACTGTGAACGTCACCCCTTCACTAGCTAGCTGGCACCAGAGTGCAGGCTGGTGTCTTCACTTCTATAACCTCTCTTCTATAACCGAGGGACAATTCTGAGTCCCAGATGAGACATATAGCCAATGTTGCAGAGTGACTTCTGGGCCAGCCCCAGGAATTCACCACCACCATCATCTCTGCCTACCCCAGCTGTGCTTCCCCAGTTGGCTGAATCAAGTTTTCAAGAGCGTCAGGCTCATAACAGGGAAAAGATGCCTGTTTATAAAAGATATTTGTTTGTGAACAAAAAGGTGAAGGCTAAGCATCACACCTTCCTTTCAGCCTCTGAGTCCTGACCTCAGTGTCAAGCACAGTCTGGGCATTCTTACTCTTAGGACACATTTGTCATTCTACTGCTGAGTAATGGGTCTTCTGGAATATGTAGCTTGGTTACATAAGTTCTGTCCCCACAGATGGGAGAGTAGAGAAGTGGGAATTCTCTCTACCTCTACCAGGGTGCAGACAATGCTTACTTCAGCCTGTGACTAGCCTCCACATTTTTCCTTCTCTCCTGCCTCTGTCCTTAGCCATCCAAGGCTCTACTGTGTTCTACCAGTGTTTCTACCACCTTTTTGACCGCCCAAGGCTGAAACATGGTGAACTTATTTCTCATTTGGCTTATTTGTTCTAATACTCAGTCATAAAGACATGAATATGACTGTAATTAGCTTAACTACTTTATTGTCCTTTAGGGGACAAACTGAAAATTTAAAAAAAAACCAAAACTTTCCTTTGGCAAAAGGAATATCTGACTCCGTACATTTTTCATCGACTACACTAGACAAATTGATATTTTTGTACTTTCTCTAAAGGGGAGAGAAACCATAACACTTAAAACTTAAGCTCCCTGACTAAGTCAGCTCAAGCTGCTCTAACAACATACCTTACTGGGAGGCTTAAAGAATAGAAATGTATTTCTCACAGTTGTGGAGGCTGGGAAGTCTGGGATCAGGATGCCCAGATGGTTGAGTTACAGACAGCTATCTTCTGGTTGTGTCCTCTCTGGGATCCCATTTATAAGGTCACTAATCCCAGCCTTAAAGGGCTCCACTGTCTTGACCTAATCACCTCCCAAAGGCCCTGCTTCATGATAGCATTGATCTTTGAGGGTGAGCATTTGAGCATATGAATTTTGAAGGGACACAGCATTCCATCCCATAACACCCCTGCAACTCAAACCAAGTGCTGCTTTCCTCTCTATACTCAATTACCAGAGTTAAGTCAATCCTTTAAGATCTCCAGGAGTAAAAAATGTTTTAAAAAGAACTCCAGGAGTATCCTCAGTCAATGTGGTGTGTGGCAGGAAAGGGGAGGGAGGCTGGACTCCTCAACCAAACAGAGGATGTTTAGGTTGGGTTGGTTTTTATATGTTTTTACCTTGTATGCAAATATATTATATTTTATGTATGTTACCCACCCACTAGTTAAACTGAACCACTTGAACAACTGCAAATGCCATGGCTAAAAGCACCATTCACTGTACCCAATGAGGATTTTCACATGGTCCAGGTCACTTGAGTTTGCAGTGTTCTCTAGATAAACCTGGAAAGGACTCCAGAATTTGAACATGAATTCTTAGACTTCTTGATGGGGAACAATAATTGGCAACTAGGATTTTCAGATAGCTCAACAACTTAAAGGCAATCCATCCACGTGCAGTCATGTGTGGAGAATTCAACAAATGAGTTAATTTTGCACTGATTTTTCTCTGATCCCAGCCAGTTTCTCTGAGTTAGAAGTTCACCCAGCAATGCTGTCTTTGGTAGATGGAAAGAGCCTCAATGTTCCCTAAGAGTCATGGTTCCTGCATTCCAAGTGCACTGGAAGTGGGCACATATGGTGCTATAGCCCGCTGCTGTAACCCCTCGAGATGAACCAGTCATGGTCCTCAAAGTGAGCATGTCCTTGCAATAGGGTGCAGCAGCCTGTGTGCAGCCCTCTGATGCATCTTTGGGGATGGTCTGTTGACAGGGCCTACCTGGAGCTTGAGATCACCCTGTCCCAGGAGCAGGTTCAGAAGTACACGGACTGCCTGCAGCTCTACGTGAACAGCACCCTGAAAGAACTCCGGAGGCTCTTCCTTGTCCAGGACCTGGTGGATTCCTTAAAAGTACGATTGCTCAAGCCCTCGCTTTATAGTCCTAAATTGTTTTCCCTAAAAAAAGAATATTATAAACTGCTGCATCACAGAGAATGCAACCCAAATGCTAATTATATTCTACAGTCAAACAGCTTCTGGGTGTATGGCACCATGGAGATCATCCAGTCCAGTGTCTTCATTTTACAGATGAGGTGAAGACACTTATCCAAAGCTGTCCAATGGTCACACGCAGAGCTAGGATAAAGCCCAGGTCCTACAACTACTAGTTCTGTACTTTTTTACAGCACATCAGGAAACCTATCCTTAACCATTTTCAATTCCTCTGCCAATTTCCTAAAATTAATCTTAAAATAAAAATCCAGTTTGGAGAGTGTGAAAGCATATAGAACTCTTTATTGAAAGAAACTCTTGACTGCTAATAGTAAGCTGTCCAGGGATCCTGAGGCTGAGACACCTGTTTTCTTGCAGAGCTGGGAATTGAACCGAGGGCCTTATACATGCTAGGCAAGTGGTTTGCCACTAAGCTATATCCCTTGCCCCTAAAGGTGAGCCATTTGAAGGGCAGAAGTGTCCCCAGCTCAGTGTGTAGGGAGGATTAGGCATCCAGGCTTTATTCTGGAGTCTGCTGAGTGTCTTTGAATAGGTGCTTGGGCCTCCCTGTGACCTAAATGTAAAATCTGTATGTAAAATATTGACTCAACCAGGCCATGAGTAGAGTGAGGGAGAGCCCAGGGAGGTGGCTGTGAGTGTTCTGCCTTCCAGGAGCACTCTGTACACATCTTAGTGGGGTTCGTGTACCAGTGCCGCCTGGTAACTGTTCAAGGAAGGACAGGAAAGAGAGAGTTGTGGCCTTCAGGCTCAAGGTGCTTCACTGGAATAATGACTCACCATGCAATAACTCAACCAAGGAGACTATAGTTACTTACTGCAGTGCTTTTAAGGTTACGTTTGTATTTGTAATGTAAAAATTGTGGGCTAGGGAAGGGGTCAGCAGCCTTTCCCTATAAGGGGCCAGATAGTAAATCCTTGGAGCTTAAGGCCCAATTTTGCCGCTGTAGCACAAAAGCAACAAGAGATAATCACCAAAGAAGGATTGTGACTGTGTATCAATAAAACTTTATTGGTGAGCACTGAAAATTGAATTTAATATCATTTCACATATCACAAAATATTTTTATTTTGACTTTTAAAAATAGAAGAATCATTCTTAATTCTTAGGCCCATACAAGACCAAATCAAGAGCCATAGTTTGCTGATCTCCTGGCCTAAACTATTATTTCATTAGTCCTTCAAATCTTTGTAACAATATGACCCAAAAGTTCCAATAACAAAAGAGAGTCCTCTTCCAGTGATTCCATGATGGGCTTTAAACACCTGACTGCTTTTCATTTCCTATAGAAATTATTTTAGTGAAATTTATTTCCTATTTCCTCTTACACTAATCTAAAAAAATCGAATTAGTAATTGTAATTAGAAAATATTGAAATGCTAATTAGAAAAATTTTGATTCTAATCTAAAAAATAAGTCAATGATCTGAGACTCTTCTCGACCAGGAATGGTATTAGGACTTTTGATTATCTTTTCATTCCTTAGTTTGCAGTCCTGATGTGGCTCCTGACTTATGTTGGCGCTCTCTTCAATGGCCTGACCCTGCTGCTCGTGGGTAAGGACAGACCAGAGGATATCATGTCTTCCTTCACAACTCCAACAATGTAAAGAATGCTTCCTAAGCTATTAGCTTCTAACTTGTCTTAATGTAGTCCTAGGAATGAATGCTGCACATCCCTGAGGACAGACCATTTCCCCGATCATCACAGTTCAATCAAAGAGTATAATAGAGCCTGGCCCTGATGGCTCACGCCTGTAATCCTAGCTACTCAGGAGGCAGAGATCAGGAGGAAGGGGGTTGGAGGACAGCCCAGGAAAATAGTTTGAGAGGCCTTATCTCGAAAACCCTTCACAAAAATAGGGCTGGTGGAGTGGCTCAAGGTGTAGACCCTGAGTTCAATCCCTGGTATCACATTAAAAAAAAAAAAGAGAGAATATTATATGTTATATATGTATATATATATATTATACATTAGTAATGAAGTTTTAAATCTGAAGGGTTTTTTTATCCTTCAACCACAAGTGGTTATTTTCATTAGGAGAAGGAACCATGTACCCTCATTCTAAAAATAAATGGCATAATATTTGTAGAGGGCTTGGCATCCTTTTGTTTTCCTTATGAACTGCCCTTTCATCTTACATCTAGAATGCTAACTGATGCCACCATACCACATACTTATTTGGAATATGTCTGTCAGCTTATTCTTGTTAATGACTCCTAGAGTTTTAACACTGTATTTGTTTTTCATCCTAGCTGTGGTTTCAATGTTTACTCTACCTGTAGTGTATATTAAGCACCAGGTAAGTTCTGTGTGGTGTCAGACATTTGTGTTAAATTTTGGCCTCATGGTCTTTGCATGTACTCATGATTTCTTTCTCTTTATAGGCACAGATTGACCAATATCTGGGACTTGTGAGGACTCACATAAATGCTGTGGTGGCAAAGTAAGTTACATAGTGCAATTCATAAAAATGGAGTCATTGTCTTAAACAGACATTTTAATAGATTAGGTAGATGTAATTAAAAGATATTCACTTATTTGAGTCATATGCTCATTTCATTCTCAATTTATTATTTCAGAAAATAATTATAAATTTCAAAAGTCTCAATTTAAAAAAAAACCTTCAGTGGTGTATTTCAGGTATTATAATAAGTGAGGTTTAATGAATGAATAATATTAAGTTCTACCTGAGGGCTGGCCCATGTCCAAGAACAAGATGGAGGAAGAAAAGGAGCCTGTTTTAGAACATTTAAATTACCAGCTAAATCAAGATAAAAACACTTAGGTGAATAAACACTTTCAATTTTCTAAACAATGAATAGCACCAATTTTAAACCATTAATTTTTTTTTAAACTTAAGATGCAGAAAAATTTTGTTACTTAAATGTTTTAATTGTAGCATTTCAACTCTACAAGTATTTGTTTAATTAACACCACTGCTTTTTTAAACCTGGGTCTTGAATAGACCCTACTTTATGGGCCACCTAATTTATTAGAAGGTAAACATTTCCATTTTACATATCCACAGCTAATAAGGTCATTTAGCTAGCTATTTTTCCCTAGTCCTTACATTAGTATTTTTAGGTTCGTTGCCACCTGCAATGATAGTTTTTATGTTTTCATTATTATTCAAGATTTTGCTTTAATCTAAAGTTGAATTCATCTTCGGCTACAAATATACACCATTAAAGGACTAGATTTTGTCAACATAAATCTATCTAGTAATCAGATAATTATGTGGCCAAGCCTAGACAATGGTCAGATTTGGAAGGAGGTGTTTTAAGCAAAGTAAAGAAGAAGAGAAAACCACTTTAAAGTTTTCCTGCTATTAGATTACAGTGCACCAGCGACTGTCTTCTAGTACTCTCCTGGAGTGTATAAAAAATTTGACTCTTGCACTATTTACATTCTTCCTCTTAAAGCCATAAGGATTTCCATAGAGTTCTATGGGAATTTGGATCTGTAACAAATCTTGAACCCATTCCATTCTAAAATGCTTGAAATTACCAGCTTGGACCCAAGTATAGCAAATACCTAATGAAAATCAACAAATGAAGGCTCAAACTGTCATCATTTTATATTAAGAAATGATATCCTGGCATAGTATGAAACTTGGTATACCCAAGCTTGGAGAACCTGAAATTCTGAGACCCCCACAACAGACCAATAGAATTAGAATTTCTAGAATTGGTGACCTAGAATTTATATTTTAATGAACTCCCCAGGTGAATTTTCAGCAGCTAGACTATGTTTAGGAAATATGGCACAGAAAATCAGAATAGGAGTTTAGAAGCTGGAAGACAGAAATTTTAGACTTAAGTTGTAAAATACTCAGTTTGGAAATCCTTTGTTGTTGTTTTGGCAGAACTGGGGGGTTGAACTCAAGGCCCCACAACTTTTAAGCAGGTGCATTACTACCTGAAGCATGGACCTAGCCCTTTTTGTTTTGGTTATTTGGGGATAGGTTCTCACTTTATTCCCTGGCCAGCCTGGACCACACTCTTATTTACACTTCTCACATAGCTGAGGTGACAGGCATGCATCACCATGCCCAGTTTTATTGGTTGAGATGGGGTCTCATGAATTTTTTTGCCCAGACTGGCCTCAAATTGTGCTCCTCCTGATCTCTGCCTCTCAAGTAACTAGGATGACAGGTGTGAGCCAGTCTGCCTGATCATTTTGGAAAGCTTGAGTAAATCATATCTATTTATTTGGGAAGGGGGTGATTGGTTCCAAAAAGAGGGATACCTTTTGTTTTGTTTTGTTTGGTACTTCATGTAACAGGCACAGAGGGTATAAAAATAAAGGAAATTATTCTAACCCTAGATGAGCAGACAAAATTATAAGGAAATAAACTGCAAAATCATGTAAGAGCTACAGAGTTGTGTAAAATACTAAAGTCAGGGCAATAATAACAATTGTTCTTTCTGAGAAGGGATAATGAAAAGCCAATACAATAAGGAAGCATTTTGCCTGAGCTCTCAAAGACGAGTATATATTCATCCAGTGGATGACAAGGAGGAAAGACATTGCAAGAAGAAAAATTATTTCTTCTTCTATAAGCCAAGATAGAGAAGTGTAAAAATGTAGGTCATCATGAAGCAATGAATCAGCCATGTGTTTAAAGCTTAACTGAGTGAAAAGATTAACTGTAAAGAATACAGAAATTGAGGCTGAGGCCTGGTGGTAGCTGCTGTAAGGAATTTCAACACCTGCCCAACACAAAATGGCTAGCCCTTGATGTTTCTAAGAAGAGGACTGATGGAATCAGAGTTGCATTTCTGAAGATCACTATGGCAGTCCAGTGAGAAAAGAATTGTTGAGCAGACAGATTGGACCTGTGGCAATAATTTAGGAGCCTATCATAACTCAAACAAATTGATAAGAGCTTAGCTAGTTAAAATGATGGAAAGAAGAGATGATAATTATATTTTATACACATATATAAAATGTAGTTCTTAAATTACAGTTGGAAATCAAGGCTGTGGAAAGGAATAGAAAGAAACATGGTAACTGTGAGGACTGACAGGGCCCCTGTGATTGAACTTCACTCAGAGTTAGCTCTGAGTTTCCTGGGACTAGAACAGAGAAGTACTTCTTATTGTCAGAAAGGAGGAAACAGCAGTTCTTCAAAAGAAACTGCTCTGTCCAACACTAAAGTCTGAAAGTAATTTTTTGGTGAGATCTTACATCTGAGATCTCTTCAACCTCTGAAATTCTTATTCCAGGTTAGAATAATTCCAGCAGAAGAAACTTAGTATGGTGATGCACACCTGTAATCTCAACAGTTAGGAGACAGAGGCAGGATGATTGAGTGTTCAAGACCAGCCTGGGCTACACAGTGAATTCCAGGCTAGCCTGGGCTGCATAGTGAGAGCATAGCTCAAAAAATTAAACCATAAAATGGAACAGAATAATTGCAGCTAAAGAGCTCACACCATTTTGTGGAACCATTATATAAAATATGATCACTGATAGTTTGAGTCCATTTCTGGTATTTTTGGCTATATGAGTTCATCAAAAATGTTATTTCATCTCTATAAGTCTATTTTCTTATGTGTAAATTGTAAATGTTAATATTTACCTCAGGGCTGTAATGAGGGTATGTAAACTATTCTTACATGGACATAGGGAGCAATGAATACTAGATATCCTGTTCACCATCATCTTGTTACTGATTAGAGATGAGTTCATACGGTGTTAAAGACAGTTCCAAGCTGAGTCAAGAGCCCCCCATGCTATTCTTCCCTTCATACTTTTGGCCCTGTCCTGATTTTCAAATGAGAAGAAAGAATAGATTCTAAAACTTATTTTTGGATGAATCGAATGCCTAATTTCAAGCAAAAATCTAGAATGAATTAGTAAAGCTATAAGTATTCAGAGTAGACAGTTGTGTGTTCACTAAATGGAGAGCTCCTATGACTGACTGGGCCAGTGAGTATTCTGATTTCAGCAGAGTACTAAACACAGCTTCCAGTGTCCTTGCACATAGAAAAATGGAGATCTATGGCCCAGATGATAATACAGATCGTAGTATTCTAGAAGACTGAACTATTAACCCCAAGGATGTTCATTAATGCATCAAATATCTGTCTGGGGTGAGAACGGTAATGTGATATACGGCCCTGCCTTTGAAAATCATGTCTCAAGACTATGTAAAGACAAATAAAGTATAATTATCAAACTTCTAGGTGACATACAGCTTGGAGCAAAAGCAACTTGAGAAGCGGGGAGTCTCAGGATTCAAACTAAGTCATGGGATCTTGAATAAGCTAAATTAGAATCAATAAAATAAAATTAACCAGGAAAGTAAAGCCCTATTATTTAGATTTTTTTTAAAAGTCCACTTTATAAATATAGACTAGGGGAGGGATTGATGAAATAGGATATACCGGTAGTGTGTGTAAAAAAAAATCTGAGATTGTTTTAATTGATTAATTGATCACAACCAAGTATGAGTCACCAAGGTGCTGAAGCATTTTTTTAAATCTGTGCAAGTTTAGATGTTATTAAGTTTCAAGTCTAAATCAAAAGAGGCCATAGGCACTATTTTCCATATTAGTCATTCCATATCTGTGTTCAATTTATTTCAGGGTTGGACATTTTTAAATATGCATTAATGTACTACAGTATAGCAGGAGTCACAGGGCCAGTCACAAAGATGACCAGGGTACTGAAAAGTCTAGCAGTAATGATCAGTGAAGACCAAACATCACTGGGATAATTGCCCTGGGAAAGAGATGATTTTTAAAACAACACACACAATAACTATCCTCAAATATTTGGTGATCTAACATTGTGATAGGAATGGGCTTTTTTTCTCTGAAGAGCAGTGAGCAGTTGAAATACCACAAATTTTGAGATTTGAATGATATATGAGGGAAAACAGTAATAGAGTGGTTCAACAATGGCATCACTTGTAATGTTACCTGACAGTCACTCGTGTCTCCAAGCAAAAGTTAGTTACCACTGTCACTTATGTCCTCCCCTGGCTATCCTCCTCCTCTGGTCCATCTCTCTTTGGTCCTTTTGCTCCAAAGGTTATCTCATTATCAAGGGCTCCAAACTTGTGTCTCCATCCCAGACCTCCTTTGCTAAATGTCAGATCTATTCATTTGTTTATCAGATATTTTGTATGTCTCAGGGATATTTCAGAGTCACATGTCAAACATTTTACAATCCCACCTGAGACTCTGTTTTCCTTCAGTCTTGGTAAATGGCATCATTCACCAACATCATTCACAATCTTCCTTAATTGTTCTCCCTCTTCCCCCTTGCCCATGCTTTCAATCCATCAAAAGGTCCTGTCGGCTCCATCTCCAAACTAGATCCCAGACTGTTCACCTGCCTGTTTCTATGTCTACCATATGTCCCTGGCCATTGCCACCTGGCACCTGGACTGCTATAGGTTTCTTTCCCTGTTATTTGTCTTACTCTCATTCCTCCCTCCCTTTTCTTTTCTCACACAGCTACTGTCATTATCTTTTAAAAACATGAGTCAGATCACATCGTTCCTCTGTCTACAATTTGTCAATGCTAAACCCCTTACAATAGTCCACAAGTTCTAATACCAACCAGTTATTGTCTGCCTGTCAGACCCCCTCCATGCGTCAAGCCCACCATCACTTTCTACCTTCTTTGCCCCCTAAGCTTGTCCTCTTCAGAACCTCTGCACTCACGGCTTCGTCTGCCTGAACCCTCCAGATCTTTGCCTGTCAACTTCTGCCTGTCCTCTGGGCATCTGTTTCTTAGATCAGTGGATTTAAAATTGGCACCACCCACTTTACCACACTGCCCATCACTTCCTATCCTGCTGCCTTGTTTTGTTTTAGAGCATTTGTCACCATCTGAAGTTCTCTTGTCAATTCACTTATCTCTCTCTCTCTTTAGTCCCTACAAGAATGAAAACCCGAAAAGAACACGTACCTTCTCCCTTTGCTTGACCACTGAATTCCAGAATATGAGAGGAAAGCCTCAATTAAAATCTGCATGATGAACTCATAAAGATTCAAATTAACAAACAAAAAACTTGAGATGTAAATCTGTCCTAAAATGATGTAGCCATACTGTGAATGTGGCAGAATTTTGAGACCATTGGTGATAGCTAGTCTGCACCCACAAATTAAAAAAGATGAGTCTCTAGAACCAGAAAAGTTCATTAGCTAAATGAATAGCATATCTGGGATGAAAACCCAAGTTTCTTAGTTCCAGTTAAGGTAGTTTTTACCACATTTCAAGTGAACACAGGTTTCTTTACCTGGAAACATTTCTGTTTATGCTGTCTTCCTGGTACAGTCATTGCATCAAAAAGTCATTCAAAAGTACCCCCAGATTAGGTGATCAATCAGTGGTATCCTCACTATATCACAGCTTCTATAGTCCTGAAAAAAATAGACATGGTTATCTACCTAAAAAGTTATACTCTAATGAATGTAGCTTTCTTGTGTCATTCCTTGTTTTATTCAATTATTTTTTGCCTTTTAGAAGTGTTTCTAGACAAGACTTAAAACTGTATCTTCTGGAATATCAAGCTATTCGGTCCCTTAGCTAATTAAAGCAACATAATGAATACATAAAATGATTTCATTGATAACATTTGCAATCTAACTCTTCAATATTATCATTTTAGAATTCAGGCTAAGATCCCAGGTGCCAAAAGGCACACGGAGTAGATGACATCCCAGCGGGGACTGGACACGAACAGGGATGTCTGGAGTGGTAACAGCTTTCTTACTCGATTCTGCAAATCAATTGTTTTTCCCTCCATTACCATTATCTTAGAGGCAAACTTTAAAGCAGCTGTTTTTAGGCTGTTCCTGTACTCTTAGGATATTTGAGTCACTTGTGTCAAGCACTAAAGTATAGAGAAAAGTGTATTAGATGTGGTTTTTAATTTTGTGTTGCTTTTTTTTAAAAAAAAGTGCATGATGGTGAGAGCCCATGTTATTTTCCCTTCTTTGGTGTTCTTCTCCTCCTCTCTGCAATGCTTCTGTAGCTTCTACATCCCCATTGCTAGGCCTTCCCTGCTGAGTGCGCTGACGCAATAGTGGAAATTGCTTATATGTCCTTGGGTTGTTGGTTGGATTAATCTTTAATAACGCTATATAGAATTGTAGACTGATGTTTTAGCATTTTTCCAACACACACAACGTAAAAATTTAAAAAAAGTCAACCGTCCTATGGTAATCAGTTTTGTATATCTTAAAATAATTAAATGAACAACCCAAAATGAATACACAGTACTTTTGTTGTATCGGATCGATGGGCTGATTTACATGTATGGTAACTAAAAAGTACCAGCATGTTAACTTTATTACAATTTGTATTACTCTCTCTGTAGTTCCTAATGGACTTAATTATGGAATCTGGATATTTGCACTTATGTACTTGATACTGAATGCATAAATAAATGTTACTAAACGCAAAAAGATCTCTCTGTCTTGATCTGATCTTGTTAGAAAATGCAAAAACTAATAATAAATAAATAAACAAATAAATGCAAAAGCTGAAAGAGAACAAGTCACTTACCGACATGGTAGGAGGGCTGCAGCCAAATGCTTACCTGCTCCTCTCTCCAGGACTATCGGGTTTAACTCCAGTCTGGTTTACAGCTGCTTTGGGCTATTAATAGTGATCACTAACAAGTAGTGGGGAAACTTCATATTGTATCCTGCTGATGCAGACATTTTAAATAGTTTTTAAAGGCCTGGAAATGATATAAATCCTTTCATCAACTTTTAATAACCAAGTGCGATTCAACACTGGCATAAAACATTGTAACTACTAAGAGCTCACGGTTTGGGTAATTATTTACGGAGCCCCTGCTGTGTACTAAGCACTAAGAATAAGGCTATGAGTCAGAAGATGACAGTTTCTGCCCTAACCATGCTAAGTCTTCAAACAATAGTGCTGTTAGTATCAAAGGTCAAAGATGAAGAGGTGAAAGCGAATGAAAGGAGCAGCAGTGGGAGGGAAAGTAGTACTGGGAGGAAGAAAGGAACAATCACTAATAAAAAGCTTTTCTTGACCAGCTTTACACTTGGGCTCTGTAAGTATCTATGAGGCAAAGTGGTGTGAAGTTTGTGAGGGCAACTTGGCACTATGACAACAGCCAAGAAACTGCCACCATGGTGTTGGGGGTAGAGAGATGGTGGCTATGGATAAATGCTAAAGACAGAAGGTGTCAGGAAACCAGAGCTGTGATACAGGCTCAAGCTACAGAGATGGATTCTCAGGGAAGCTGAACATTAGGGCTGGGTTCTGGTCTGGGTTTTACCAGATGAAGATGGTTCACCAGAATGAAGAAAGAATGTGAACTAAGGAGCCAAGGCATAGGCAGAGAATGGTGATTAGTGAGCTGAACTGGTTTGTAAGGTGCTTGTGGTGGGAATGGCGATGCCAGGCAGATTCTTTCACAGTGAGAAGAAGATGCCTGTGCCAAGGATTTGGGGCTTTATTCTATCAATCTTAGAGTCACCTAAATACAATAACAGTGCAAGACATTGAAGATTAGACAAATATAGGAGATAATTACAGCATGATTCTAACAGCAAACAGGCTCAAATGACTACTCCACCAGAGCAGCCACAGGGATAAGAGAAAGAAGATTTCACCTGTCCCTGACATGCAAGCACCCACAATGGTAGGGGTGTGACTAAGAGATCATGTGGAAAGAGATTGGGATGGAGGTGGTGATTAATTAGAGTTGGGTTCAAGACCAAAGCTGTCCTTAAGAGTGAGTGCCTCCTTAAACTCTGAACCTTAGGCAGCTCACTCACCTCATCCCAGCCCCTGAGCTGTCTAAGACCAGCTGAGCAAGAGAATGCAGCACCATTTTCCAGACAGAGAGCCCAGAAGAACTGGCTTGGAGAAGGAAAGCAGTAAGCTTAGCTGGTATTTGATTTTTGGCGGAGGTGTCAGTACTGGGGTTTGGACTCAGGGCTAGGCAAGCTTTCTACCACTTAAGCCATACCTCCAGCCCTTTTTGCTTTAGTTCATTTGTCAGATAGTGCTTTGCTTTTTGCCCCTGGTGCCAGCCTCTGACCACAGTCTCCCTATCTATGCCTCCCAAGTAGCTGGGATTATAGTTTTATACCACCATGCATGACCCTTGATCATTTTTTTATAGTTACTAAATAGTGAAGAACATTTCTTGGGCTAAGGGTGTAGCTCAGTGGTAGCGCATATGCTTAGCTGTATGAGGTCCTGAGTTTAATCTCTAGCACCCAAAGAAAAAACAAAAAGAGAGAAAGAGGATTTCTCTTTTTTCCCCTGTGTTTTTCAGTCTCTAATCTTTGAGATATGAAGTTTCTTCTATGTGATTTTATTCTGTATAACTAATCTTCAATATCAGCACTCACAGCATTTCCCTCCTTCCTGTTGTTCAGAATTCCTCTTCCAAGCAGCTGCTTACCAAGAAGAGCTAATTAGGAATCCCACTTGCTGGTAGAGATGGAGAGGATTCCTGAGGGAAACTTCAAGTTTATAAAATGGGCATAGATTTGCAATAAATGCAACATAGGGCATGTAATATGCTGTTTCTTCTATAGGCAGCATTAGCCACAGTGATATTGGAGGTGATGGAAATAATGTAAGGACTCAGTGACAGGTAAGAGAACAAAGAGCAGAGCTCTACAGGAGCCCAGAGTGAGGGAAGTGATTCTGGCTGTGAACCATAGAAACTCTTCCAGTCTATAGGTGAATTGAGTAGAAAGGAGGAGGATAGATGAAGAGGCTACAGTATGGTTTCTGGGTCACATCAGAAATAAAGGAAATATGATAGTTCACACATCTTTTGCTCTTTCCACATCCATAACAACAAGGGTTTAGATTTGAGAGTGCTATTCAATCACACCTCATTTCTAAGTTGTAACTCAGTTGAGAAATATACCAGTTGAATAAAGATCAAATGGTCAATTTCACCACTGATGAAGTTGCTCAACCATGGCTAGAGTAAGGCTTCCTACTATTTCTCCCCAGCACAGAGGGGTGCTTCCTCTTCAGAGGAAGGAGCCAGCAGCCCTCGGTAAAGGTCAGAGAGAAAGCTCAGAAAATAGACAACCTTTTCATTGTTCTATCAACTGTCATAGAAAATTGTTTCCGGTACTATTTTAAAAGGTTTCTTAGAATATTAAAAATAAAATGTTTTGGGGTTGGTGGAATGGCTCAAGTGGTAGAACACCTGCCTAAAAGCACAAAGCACTGAGTACAACCCCCTCAAAAAATTAAATATTTCCACTGAATTTGTTGAGGTGTTTCCTTTCTCTGAAATTTACTAAAGGAAAACACAGCACCTCAGCATGTAAATCCATGTAAGGATAAATCACTCAATGTATACAACGCCTCTAGGCTGAGATCACTGTTAGATAAGAAGTATTATTTTTTGTTTGACACGCATCAGAATTCCCAGAAACTCTGCAGTATTTATTCTGTTCAACAAATGTGTCGAAAAGTACTCTAAAATTATAAGGATATTGACCACATAATAATCTCAGTGACAAATTGATCCTGTCTTGCTTTTTTCTCTACAGAATATAGCTCATGATTTTTATTTGCTTTCCTAGGTGGGAAAGAATATCCAAATGCTTAGATATATACCACAAAATATATTCCCAACAGAATAAATGGAGCTCTCTCCAGGGACTCCATTTACTCTGTTAGGTTATCTCATGAACCCATCTAGGCCCCCAGTGATAACAGAATCTAACCTCCATTGGGAAGAACAGTGCTAAACTTAGAGCTTTTCCCTAGATAAGATGTGTCTGCTTCTTTTCCTTCCTAAAACAATTTACTTTGTCTTTTTTTAAAAAAAAAAATTGTTCTTTAATTTCCAAATTGGGTGATATATGAGATGCATCTAATCACCTGCTTATCTATACACCTTCATTACTTGATTTATTAGTCAATAAAGTTACTTGGAGTCAATTGAAATGAAAATTCTTAGGCATAATATTACATCCTTGAGCCAGACACTGTACTGGACTTTTTATAAACATTATTTCTAATCAGAATTTCAAAATCCTGGTGGGTGCTGATGGCTCATACCTGTAATCCTAGCTACTTGGGAGGCTAAGAACAGAAGGATCAAGATTCAAGGCCAGCCTAGGCAAATATTTCACGAGACCCCATCTCCAAAATAACCGAAATGGACTGGAGGTGTGGCTAAAGCAGTAGAGCACCTGCTTTGCAGGTGCCAAATGGTATATAATCAAAGCTTTTATTTTCCAAATGAGGAAACAGAATCTCTTTATGTGTATACAGCTAGTAACTGATAAAGCAAGGTCTTAGATCCCCATCGGTCTGATTTTGAAGCCTGGGCTCTTTCCCCTGGACCACCCTGCCTTTCCAGTGTGTAGCCACCCCTCCCTGCAGTCTGGCTCAGGAGCAGTGCTGCCTCAGCAGCTAGTAACAGAAACCCACTCAAGTATATTAACTGTCAATGGCTGCTTATTGGAAGAACACAAGAGAGTTCACAGGCTTACTGCACGGGATTTTTTCTAAACACACAATTTTGCTATTTTTGACCTTCCTGGTTAAAGACAGAAGTTCTTAAACCCAGGAATAACATGACTATCCAGCCCTGAATAGAGGCAGAGAAGAAAGTACACACATGTTAAAGATACAATAAAGATACAATGGTTTAACTTTATGTACACCTTGCTCCTAACCCAGAGTGCACATCCACATTGCAACAAGGAAAAAAAAAACAAAAACATAACAGCAAAGCCATGGTGACGATTCATTCTGTAATTCCAGAAGCTGAAAATCAGGAGGTCTCATTAACGGAAATTCCAATTTAAAAGAATAACCAAGCAGTAATTCTGGTGTGATAGAATTCACGTAGCACCAGAGTTTACGAACAATTTAATGCAGTGATTCAAAATGCCCTGCAGGGTCCTGTGATGGGAACAGTTACAAACCCCAGCTCTGCCCTACTGGCTCAGGTTCAAAAGTGATGTGGTAGACTCTAAGGAAGTAGCCTTTCTTCCCAGTGTTTTTTCTTTCTAATAAAGTGTAAACTGCAGAAGATGTTAGGCTCATGTTTTTAAAACTTCTGAATCTTTTCTATTATCCTTTTCAACAACATCTTAAGCATCTAGGATGTGCAAATTTTCATGCTAGGTACTGAGACTAAAACATTGACCCTACTTTTAAGGGATTCAGAATATAGAGACAATAGTAACAAATCTATGAAATGGCTTATTTTGATCCATTGTTTTAAACACTTTAACTATATTAATCAACTTAGTTCTCAAAATCATCTTACAGTCTCAGTTTTACAGATGAGAAAATTAAGACATAAGGTTACAGAACTACTAAGCAATGAGATTATTATACAAAAAACTGTGAGGCCATTCAACCTATGATAATTGTCACTGGTGGAAAGTTTGAACAAAGTGCTTTAGAGGATCGGAGATTGGTGGGGGAA